AAAGAAAGAAAGAAAGAAGAAAGAAAGAAAGAAAGAAAGAAAGAAAGAAAGAAAGAAAGAAAGAAAGAAAGAAAGAAAGAAAGAAAGAAAGAAAAGAAACTAGTCATCTTTTGGATGTATGTTCAGTAGTGGGATTCCTGAATTACATAGTAGATCTAATTGTATCCTTCTTTTGGATTTCTTTTTTTCAAAATATGTTTTTGATACATAGTTATTGCATTATCTGGGTACATTCACTTATCACATCTTAATTATTATTATTTCGCTGCCACCCTCCTGTGCCCTCCCATCATTATATCCCTGCCCCATCTCCATAAAGTTTACTCCCCTGTTTTCTACCTTCTCCCTGTTATTTTGCTCTTTAAATTATTTATATTTTGGGTTAGGAAATAAATGGCGAATTTGTTTTCTTTGTGATATTTCAGCTGGCTCTGTTGTAAGAAAGACAAGTCAGGAAGTTTGGAATTGGAACAAATTTATTTATTTTTCTTCATAAGAATGCAATTTAAAGTTTAGTTGGTCACTTTTGGCTAAAAGTTTCAGAGATTCACCAATATTGTTTTATGTAATAAAGAAGACCTTTTGTTCTTACGGAAGAGGTTTACAAAGTCATAACAATCGCCACCTATTATATTTCAAAACAAAAGAAGGTTGAAATTGTTTTACACAAAGGACACCAGGTAACACCTGAAAGAAATAAAGCAAAATCGCAGAAATACAAAGGAGTAATTGTTGAAACTTCCTTTCAATTCTTCTTAAAGGCATCTGTGAAGTGCTCTCCGAGTCTTCAGTGTCTGTGTGGTAACGATACAAACCAAGTGTATTAACCACCTTGCCTGACACTGATACACAATACGGAGAACATACAATTTAGAGAAGGAAAAGTTTAATTTAGTGCTCAGTCTTAGATGATTCAGTCTGTGCTTTTCGGGCCATAAAGGGAAACATAACAGCAGAAGGCTGTGGCAGAACAAAGCTGCGTAGTTCCCGGTAGACAAGAACCAGGACAGAGATACATCGCTGGAGAAAGGGGGCTAGGAGCCATAAACACTGTGCAGCGCACACTTTATGATCCACCAAGACACGTCCAGGCTGCACTTCACTCATCTGCTGGACATTTCTTAATCTAATGAAGTTGATAGCAGGAGGAATCGTCTCACCAGAGTACAGGACATTTTTAAATGTTTTTCTTCCTATTTATATAAGAATTTATTTAGCTACTGATGAATTGGAATGTCAAATTGAAAGTTAAAAATCCTTGCGCATCTCCAAAATAAAGATCCTCGTTATCAGAGGTGAGGAGAGGTGTATTCCCAACTCTAAAAAGTACATTACCTGGTCATTATTTATGGACAAAAATCATGATAAATAGTTGAATAAAAAACGCACAGAAACTACACTAAGGCATTATGATGCCCTTAATTTCAAGATGACACAAATTAAGTTTTGGATTACAAGCACTTGTGACCTCTTACAATTAATTTCATACAGGTTTTTTTTATTTGTAAAGATAAAGAATGAAAACACATTAACAAACAAACAGACATAAACAAAACAACACCTAGACAATAGAAGCAATACAGAGTTTCAGACAAAGTGATAGAAAATTGACAATAGATACTGTATTTT